TCTAAAGTTACCATTTAAGTTTCAGCGGAGACAATTCCCACTAAAGTTGTTGTATGCTATGATAATTAACAAGAGTCAAGGATAAACGTCTTTTACTATTGGGCTATTATTGAAAAGATTTGTTTTTGTTCACGAACAACTTTATGTAGCTTTATCCGGAGTTAGCAATTCAAATTGTCTTAAATTACTTATTTGCAATGACAATGAAGAATAGTTTCTTCAACGTCAAATGTTGTATATAAAGATGTGTTTTATAATATATAAACTTTGTATGTTATTTTTGTTACATACATTTTTATATATTAAAATCAATCATTTTTTAAAAATGTTAAACAAATCAACATTGTTTGGCTCAGTGGAGGCATTATTGGTTCTTTGTGTTTCAGTAGGTTGAGAAAGTATATGAACAGATACTACAATGTAATAGAACCAGTAACTTAAAAAAAAAACATTGTTTGAGTTTTGCTATTATCAACAATTGTTTTATTTTCATATATATATATATATATATATATATATATATATATATATATATATATATATATATATATATATATATATATATATATATATATATATATATATATATATATTTTCCGTGCATCGCACGGGTGGATAACTAGTTATGCTTAAAAGTGTTTGGAAAAATTAACTTTTTGATAAGCTGATAAATGTACAAAGACTAAAAAAGACATTTTCATAAAATTTAAATGATGTGATTATTATATTATTAAATATATGAGATATATTTACTTTTAAAAAAGTTTTTATTTTTATAATATATATGAGATATATATTAAATTAAAAAATAATTAAAAAGTTTTTAATTGAGAATTGTAAATGATGTCATTTATTTATGAACGAACAATTGGAGTTAGAACTTTAAGGAGTTGCTAGGCGGTAAAGATTTGCCAAAGAAGATGAATAAAAATATAGGAGAAGATAAAATGCCAAAAGTGTTTTAATTGTGAAAGGATTGGTTGTAGCATATTTTAACAAACAAATACACGGAGTATCGGGTTATCGATCCACATGGAAGCGGGACGTATCAATCACTAGCTACTAATCTACTCGCGAGAAGCTAATCCTAACGAAAAGGGTGATTGAGTGATTGTAAAAGTAAAACTAATTAAAAGGGAACAAGGTAAGCAAGTTGATGAAAACAATAGAGTAATAGTGGGATTTTTGGAGTTCAAGTGGTTAATCACCTAGTGTCAATTTAAAGTAAAATATTTGATTTGGGTTCTAACAACTATGAAATGCATTTAAGGGAAAGAATTACTCTCATAATTTCAATCTAAAATAATGCGAGTGAATATTCATTACCATGAGATAAAACACTCAAACAACTCAAAAATAGAGTTGTCAATGCGGGCTGGCGGGGCGGGGCCCGCCAAAGCCCGCCTTTTGGCGGGGCGAGCTAAAAAGCCTGTTTTAAAAACGGACCTAGGTAGCCGCAGCCCGCCCCGCCCCCCTTAGGCCCGCGGGCCCCCGCCAAAGCCCGCTATTTTTTTAAAAAAATATTTATTTACCATGTGTCCCTAACGTCTAAATTCTAATGTGTCTATGTTAATAACTTAATTGTTATCTACTTAAAACACTTATCCATCACTTACGTAATAAATCTAAAATCAACTACTCGAATATTGAAATATATTACGGAGTATAAGTTTATAATATACATTATATATACTTGTAAAAAGTTCACAAATCATTAAAAATAAGTAAATAACACAAATTAGTTCATCACATCATGACAACAATGATACCATAGAGTCCATTCAGTCTAAATATGGTTACAGGGCTTTTGGTTGGAGAGAATTTAAATTTCATTCCCACTTAATTTCCACCTAACTCCACAGGCCACTTAATCTTCCATGGAATTGCAATTCCTTTCCTACGCAATTCCCTCTCTCCAACCAAACGCCCCATTACAATTTAACAGAGCCCGTATTTTAGGTGTGTTAATTACAAAATGAAACTACAGTGTATCTAAAATAAAACTACCTCACATATTGTTTTGATATTATCAAATGAAACTGTAATTGAATTGAAATGAAACTTTAATTGTGTTGAAGTGAAATTGCAGTGTATATAAAATGAAACTAAATAACAATTTCACATATTTGAGTGTATATTGTCTAGAGAAACTGTAGTTATATCGAAATTATACTGTAGTTGTGTTATAATGAAACTATAGTGTATATAAAATGAAACTAAATAACAATTTCACATATTTGATGTATAATGTCAAATGAAACTATAGTTATATCGAAATGAAACTGTAGTTGTGCTGAAATGAAACTGCAATGTATATAAAATGAAACTGAATAAAAATTTCATATATTTGAGTATATATTGTCCAATGAAACTGTAGTTATATTGAAATTATAATGTAGTTGTGTTGTAATGAAACTATAGTGTATATAAAATGAAATTTAATAACAGTTTCACATATTTGAATGTATAATATTGAATGAAATTGTAGTTATATCGAAATGAAAGTGTAGTTGTGTTGAAATGAAACTGCAGTGTATATAAAATGAAACTGAATATATTATACAAACAGAGTTATTTTTTGCAAAACGACACAAAACGGTGCGAAACGGTACCATTTTTTTTCATTAAAAGAAACCGCACCATTTTGATGTCTGGACTATAATACATTATGGACCGCGGTCCACAGTAAAATTTGCCGGCGCTGAGAATGCCTTCTTTTTTGAACTCTGCACGTCTACTCCATTGTTGCAAGCAGGTTGTACTGTGATGATTCTTGTGCCTTCACAGGCATACCTTGATGATGATGGCCCGAAATGAAGAGAATTTGTGGGCTTGACTTTCATTAACCGTAATGGTATTATATGGCGCAAATTATGCTGTGGACTCTGTTCACAATGCATTATGGATACGAGTTCAAAATTATGTCGTTTTAAGGGAAAACGCTGCCTTTCAGTTAAAAAAAAAATTAATTTTGTCTTGCCGTTAATAGCGTTATTCGTTTGTGGAATTATGAATGTACAGTTATGCAATTATGAATGTACAGTTATGCAATTATGAATGTAAGTTATGGAATTATGAACACAGAGCTCTGACATTATGAACTTACAATTATGAACATATAGTGATAAAATTATGAACATAGAGCTCTAAAATTGTGAACATAGAGTTTCGAAAATTATGAATTTACAGTTATTGAATTATAAATGTACAGTTACGAAATTATGAATGTGCAGTTATGTATGAAATTATGAATGTACAGTTATGCAATTATGAACACATAGCTCTGACATTATGAACTTACAATTATGAACATATAGTGATAAAATTATGAACATATACTCCTATAACAAAGTGGTCTGAAATTTAAAACAAAAAAAGTGAAAGAAAACAGTGCCACTAACGGCACCGTTACTGTGTCCAACATGCATGCTGGACACGGGTCCATAGTATAACGATTGCTTATATGGTTGGTACTAATATCAATTAACATGATAAATTTCTTTTATAAATTTAGCTCCTAACTCAGACTTTCTGGCTCAGCTTCTAAATACAATGTTTGTCTAAAAATATTTTTCAATTGGACGAGAAAATTTTTCCTTTTTATTTTTCAAAACTTGTGTGTCTTATTATATAACAGAAGATATATAGAATTGAAGATAACAATGGGTTGTTAGTGACTCCCATGAACAAGTACCTTAAAAGAATTGAAGGCCAAAGAATGTTTAAAAAATATTTAGATATTTTAATACTTAGTTCGAAACCCTGTTGATAGAAAAAGATATATAAACGGATCCGATGAGGATAGAAAAAAATATATAAACCGATCCGGTGATCTCAGCCATTCAACATAGAGGATGCGAAATCATTTGCCGCCAAGATCAAGACTTTTAGTATATATCTCCCCTTATACCTGGACTTCCACTTGCTTATACCTAGACTTCCACTTGCTTCTCTATCGTCTCTCTATTCCATTATTAAAGTTCAAGCTGATAGTGATTATATTCCAATTATAAGGAAAAATCTGGCGTTAAACAGGATCTGATTAAGAAAGGATGATGTTGGGGATATACCAGAACCTGCGTGTGCGTGACTTGGCGGAGTGGGCGAAACTCGCCGGCGAGGAGACGGTAACCTAGCTTTTGTTCAATTTTTTTTTTAATAAATATATTATTAGGTTTAGCCGGTCTAAACAGGTTTGCTATCGTATGGGCTTGACCTGAAACATGTTAATGAAACGTGTCGATCTGTCGTGTGTGTTAATCCGTTTAACCCGTTTACAAATCGTGTTTGTGTTAAGCTTACCTTAGCTTACTCAATAAAAGTACGAAACCCTAATGGGGTGTTTGGTTGGGAGGAAGAAATTAAGAAGGAAAGGAATTGAAATTCAATGGAAAAAGAATAAGGTAGAAATTTTGTTACATGAATAAGGTAGGAATTCAAATTATTGTTTGGTAGGGAGAAATATAATTATTGACAATGAGAGAAAAAAGTGATATAAAGACTAAAATATAGTTGCGTAATAATACAAATAACAATCACCGATGATACTTTTGTTATTTCTTCTATTTTTCCCTTTTCCACCAGCATTGAATTGCAAATCATGGAAATACCCATGAATTACAATTTAACAAAAAGGGAGAATTACAATTTCCTCCCACCAAACAATGTAATTAAGTCTTTTATTGAATTAAAATTCAATTACAACTAAATTACATTCAACCAAACGCTGTATCTTATTTGTCGTCATTGAACTTACCTTACTCAATAAAAGTACTCAACCCTAAATGTATATATATAATAAGTTTCTTAATATATAAACACAATTAGCAATATCAAAATCAATTATTTAGGGAATTAACAAAACCCAATAGGAAATTACTTAAATATTTAACACTTTTCCTTGTTAGGAGATCGCAAAATCATACATTTTAAGGATAATAAAAAGGAGTCCAAAATGTTAGTTTTCCTTGTCGTGATAGGAATGCACAAACCCACGCAGCTATAAAAACGTAATTCTATTCTCATTGTAAAACACATACACAACTTCATCGTACTATGGCCCACCCCAAGATTCCAACCGGTTACAGATTCCGTCCGACAGACATGGAGCTCCTAGGTTTTCTAGCCTTATTTGTTACCGGAAGTTTATCATTGTCGTGGTATCCGATGAAGGAGAAGAATCTGTACAGCGGGGAGGAGCCATGGCAGCTGTTTGGGAACTCAAAAGAGAGGATTCGCTATTATTTCACGCCGTTGAAGAAGAAGAATCCTCGCAATTCACGGTACCGGCGGACCATCGGAGATGGGAAAGGTACCTGGAAGGCTCAGGATAAAGGTAAACCCATATTTAAATCTGGACGAATTATGGGATATAAAAGGAGTTTGAGGTATGAAAATAAAGGATCAGAACATGATGGGCAATGGCTCATGAAGGAGTATTATCTTCCTGATACGGTCAGAAAAAACCTTAAAGTAAGACTTTTTTTCTTTAATTTGTTTTATAAGCTCATGAACTTATTTTTTTGGGCTAGTTGTGCATAGATTGTGTCTGGGATGGGGTGAATTGTGTCTTTTTGGTACATGGTGAGAAAATCGACAGTTTTTGTTGTGTTTCCAAAGTTTTTCTGTCTTTCTGTGATTTGAAGTTTTCAATCTCTTATTTTAAACTTTCGGTGTGATTCTACTATTTCGATCAATTCTTTATTTGGAGTGTGAAGAATCACCTCTGATCTCCTAATCTGTTTTATAAGCTCATGAACTTAATTTGCTTTTGTTAGTTGTGCATAGATTGTGTCTGGGATGGGGTGAATATAATTCTGCCTTTTTGGGTAGGTTGGGCCGGGGTCTTTATCCACCTGTTCTTTTAAACTTTTCCTCCACCTTTTGTGTAACTAGTTTTCACTCTTATTTTTTATCTTTGGTGTGATTAGTGTGAGGATCCCTCCTTCTTCCTTTAGAGTGGGAAGAATCATCTCTCTCCACTTTCTTTGTATTACAAATAAACCGCCACCAAAATAGTTCTGACCACGGTATTCTGAACTGGCAGTTTTCTGTTTAATTTTTTTTGAAAATGCTTTGTTTTAATTCATATATAGGAAATAGGCTTACAGGTTACTCGTGGATTTGTATTAGACTCACCGCTACTCGGCGGCGGCTATGGGATATAAGAGAAGTTTAAGGTGGAAATAGGCTTACCACTACTCAAGGATGGGATATATGGAATATAAGAGATGGAATATAAGAGAAGTTTAAGGTGGAAATAGGCTTACTTGAAGGATGGGATATATGGAATATAAGAGATGGAATATAAGAGAAGTTTAAGGTAGAAATAGACTTATCGCATAGGCTTACCGCCACAAGGCTTACCGCCACTTTGACGGATGGGATATAAGAAAAATTTAAGGTGAAAATAGGCTTACTGCTATTCGACGGATGGGATATAAGAGATGACGGATGGGATATAAGAAAAGTTTAAGGTGGGAACGGGTGGGATATAAGAAAAGTTTAAGGTGGGAACGATGGGATATAAGAAAAGTTTAAGGTGAAAATAGGCTTACTGCTATTCGACGGATGGGATATAAGAGATGACGGATGGGATATAAGAAAAGTTTAAGGTGGGAACGATGGGATATAAGAAAAGTTTAAGGTGAAAATAGGCTTACTGCTATTCGACGGATGGGATATAAGAGATAGACGGATGGGATATAAGAAAAGTTTAAGGTGGGAACGATGGGATATAAGAAAAGTTTAAGGTGAAAATAACGATGGGATATAAGAAAAGTTTAAGGTGAAAATAGGCTTACCGCTACTTTCACGGATGAGATATAAGAAAAGTTTAAGGTGGAAATAGGCTTATCGCTACTTTGACGGATGGGATATAAGAAAAGTTTAAGGTGGAAATAGGCTTACCGCTACTTTGACGGATGGGATATAAGAAAAGTTTAAGGTGGAAACAGATGGGATATAAGAAAAGTTTAAGGTGGAAACGGATGGGATATAAGAAAAGTTTAAGGTGGAAATAGGCTTACCGCTACTTTGACGGCCGGATGGGATATAAGAAAAGTTTAAGGTGGAAATGGATGGGATATAAGAAAAGTTGTGGAAATGGATGGGATATAAGAAAAGTTTAAGGTGGAAAAGTTTAAGGGATATAAGAAAAGTTTAAGGTGGAAACGGATGGGATATAAGAAAAGTTTAAGGGATATAAGAAAAGTTTAAGGTGGAAACGGATGGGATATAAGAAAAGTTTAAGGTGGAAATAGGCTTATTGCTATTCGACGGATGAGATATAAGAGAAGTTTAAGGTGGAAATAGGCCTACCGTTTTACTGTTACTCAACGGAAATAGGCTTATTGCTACTCGGATGAGATATAAGAGAAGTTTAAAGTGGAAATAGGCCTACCGTTTTACTAAGCCTTACTCAAGGGAAATAGGCTTACTGCTATTCGACTTATGAGATATAAGAGAAATTTAAAGTGAAAATAGGCCTACCGTTTTACTGTTACTACTAAGAAAGTGGAAATAGGCCTACCGTTTTACTGTATTCGAATTGTCAATTTGAATTAAACTTTTTATTGGAATCAATTTGAATTAAACTTTTTATTGGAAATAGTTACCTGCCGACTAGTGCAATTGGAATTGTCAATTTTTTTTTTTTATTTAATTGAAAACTATGGAGGAACGACTTTTTATTTTTATTTTATTTAATTGAAAATTATGAGACATAAAAGATGACTTTTTATTTTTATTTTATTTAATTGAAAACTATGGGATATAAGAGACGACTAGTGCAATTGGAATTGTCAATTTGAATTAGACTTTTTATTTTTATTTTATTTAATTGAAAACTATGAGATGAGATAGAACAATAAAGGATCAGAACATAATGGTACATAATGGTCAATGGCTTTTCGATCAAAAAAACCTTTAAATAAAACTTTTATCTTTAATTTGTTTTATATATAAGCTATGAATTTGATTGTTTAATTTTATAAACTATGAATTTGATTTGCTTGTTAGTTGTACATAGATTGTGCTTGGATGGTGTGAATTGTGCCTTTTTGGGTAGGTTCGGAAAGTTCTTCAAAATTTTTCTTCTTTTTGTGATTTGAAGTTTCCAATCTTTTTTTTTTTTTTTCTTTGTTTTTAAACCGCCACTAACATTAGTAGCCACTAATGTTAGTAGCGTGACCATTGTTTGGTTCCGATTACGAACTGGGATTCTAAAAATTACAAATCAGATGGTGACAATTTTGGTTAGAATGGCTGCTTACCGATTATTCGGCTACCGCTAGTGCAATTGGAAGCGTGAATTTGAATTAAACTTCTATCAAAAGTAAAAAGTAAAGATATATGGCCAATGATTGGAAGGAATAATATAAACTACTCTCATAAAACTTATAAACTAAAGTTAAAATACTAATAAATTACTAATTAACTAGTAATTTAAAATTTTACATATTTCTATCTTTATCCTTATTATTTTAAATAAATGATTATTAAAGCTCTTTCTCTTTTCTATTTAACTTTGATTGTTAATTACAAAATGAGCTCAATGAGGTTATTTATACTTATTCTACCTCCCCAACCAACGGTGAAGATCTAATTGATTGTATGCCTATGATTATATTTATGAAATCCACCCTAAAATTCTATACAATCATATGAGTTCTATAATGTTTTATAAGATTTTATAAATTTTTACACTTCAAAATGTTAAATTTTAATAGGTAAACAATCCTATTTAAAATTTAAAACTATTTAAATTTTATTAAGATGTCTTTTTTTTTTAAAACATTTATTAGCTTATCATCCGTTTATAGCTTTTTAGTTTTCAGTTTTCAGTTTTCAGCTTCTAACTTATAGCTTTTCAGTTTTCAGCTTCTAACTTATAGTTTTTCAATTTTCAGCTATGTTTGCCAAACATAGTCAATATATATCTTATTTAGTGTGTATATATATATATATATATATATATATATATATATATAATATTATATATGGCAACCGTCGGGTTCGAACCAGCACCGTTCTAGAATTCCTTAAACCGGAACTGACACTTTTTGGATTTTGGTTTCTAATCGGAATCGAAACCGTACGGTTGGTTCTGGTTTGGTTCTAACAACCATGGTCATATCTAAATGTTAGGGTTTGGAGAGGAATGGTAGCATTTATAGTTGGGCAAAAGAAGGGATAAAAAAGACAAATTTTCGCAGCAGAAATTGTAGATCTGGAGGGACTCGACGTGCCGAGCCATTACATAGTGAAAAATATAATGGAGAATTCTGCCAGCACTCGATGTGTCGAGTGTTAGGGAATTATTTTATTTTATACTCTATATATATATTACCAACTTTAATTAATTTTTGATGTAAATTGATACATATATAATTCCTAAATTTTGGCATGTTTTCGAAAACCCAGTTCAAAAATCACAGTTAGCTGTAATTGTTTCGCATTATTATATTTTAATTCAGCCTGTCGTTAAAATTACTGTGTTTTGTGGAATGGACATTTTCTCATTATAATTAGATTATTATTCGAATTCAGGTACCATTAAAGGATATAGTTCTTTGTCGAATCAAAAGGAAACAAAATTGGGACAGCAAAAATCATGAAAGTGAATCGACAACAACAAACGACATTAGAGATATCATCGGCGATTTGTCTACTCCAGCAACACCCGAACCTTCTGAGAGTGAGACAACTACATTAACATTATTAGCTCTCTGATCTAGAGAGAGAACGTTGATTGGCCGATTGACTATGATGAGGTTGGGTCTATGGGATGGGGCTAAACTCGTTGTTAATGTTTTCCAATGTATCACATGATTAAATTGTGTCTGATCGATAGATAGATATATGTTACGGAACATAATTTAATATATATGTGATTTCGTTTATTACAATGAATGTTATATATATTATTTATTATATTATATAATAATAATAATAATGGGTAATTATTTGATGAGATGAACTACCATGAAAGGATAAATGACATTTTGAAGTATTGTGGTGTTATAAATATAGAGGTTGATGTTCTTATGAGAATTACTTCCTCATGAGTCCATGAGGAATTAAAAACGCGTGTTTGCTAGAATAATATTAGCATCTCTTCTATGGCTACTTTCGAAGAGTCGGGCCACTGTGTTCCTTTAGGTCTGGAGGAAAGTTCATGAACTTGACAAGGATACCATTCGACGATAAATAAGCTATCGAAATAGTTATGAAAAAGAGTTTTGTATGTATGTTTCTTGACAAGGATACCATTTGACGATAAATAAGTTACCGAAATAGTTATGAAAAGGATACCATTCGACGATAAATAAGCTATTGAAATAGTTATGAAAAAGAGTTTTGTATGTATGTTTCTTGACAAGGATACCATTTGACGATAAATAAGTTACCGAAATAGTTATGAAAAAGAGTTTCGTATGTTTCCTACTTAGACTAATGTCTGATGTCTCTCTACTAAAGTTGAAAATACAAAGAAGTGTGGCTCAAACTAAATGTTGACGCGGCCAATGACAAAGACCCCAAGACCACATGCATGGGTTGTATTTTGAGGGATTCCTAAGGCTCTTTTATAGCAGCTAAGATGGAGAAATGGCAGGGCCTCTATCATCCTAACACTACTACAAAAATAGCATATAACGTCGGACATATCACGTCATTAAAATCGACGTCAAAACATTTAATGAATTCATAATTTAAAGATAATATACGACATCCATTTTAAAAAAATCGACGTCATTTAATGAATTCATAATTTAAAAATAATATACGACATCAGTTTTAAAAAATCGACGTTGTATCATTTATTTATTATTTATTATGTGAGGCAGAATTATGTTGGAAAATAACCGACGTCGTATGCCCAAAATAACCAATGTTAAAAAGACTTTTTTTTTTTTTTTTTTTTTTTTTTTTTTTTTTTTGTGATAGTATAAAATCGGGGAGGCTATTAAGATTAGAGAAGCACTTAATTAGCTGAAAAATATGGGGTTCGACCATATCCACATTGAATCGGATGCATTGTTAGTTATTTAAGGTCTACATAGCAGTGAATACATATATACCTTTCCTTTGATTTTTTTCTAGAAGATATTAAGAAAAAAGCTAGCTAATGATTTCTCTTGAATTAGCTTTAATTTCCACAAACATGGCAACTCATCTGCTTGAGATGTCGTGTTTTCTACTGGTTGTAGGGAGTGGTTGCACAACCCTCCCATTTTCCTTTCGCAAGTTGTAGCTTTCGAAGCTAATCAATGAAGTACTTGTTCATTTGTTTTCAAAAAATAAAATACACGTATGCATATGTAGCATTATGTTGTGTGCATATTAAGGCTCTGTTCGACAAACTTAGCTAAAAAACTATAAGTTAGGAGCTGAAAAGCTATAAGCTCAGAGCTGAAAACTGAAGAGCTGTTAAGCTAACTGTTATGATTGAAAGTATTTGATAAAATTAGTTTTTTGATAAGCTGATAAATGTAAAAAGATTGAAAATGACATCTTCGTAAAATTTAAATTAGTTTGTTTACATTCTAACATTTTGTCTTTAAAAAAAAATTAACATTTTGAAATAAAACTATTAACATAATCATGATCTAGCATCTCATAATGAAGTAGCAATATTGTTGCAAATCTAATAATAATAATAATAATAATATTTGCGGTGAAAGTTGCAGAGGAGAAGAGAAAAAGGTTTTAATTGGGAATGGTAAATTATGTCATTTCTTAAAAATAATAAGGATAAAGATGGGAAAAAAATTAGGAAATTAGAAGCTTATTTTGAAACGCTACCTAAAAGTAGCGTTCCAAAATAAACTCTTATTTTAAGCTAGGAGCTTATTTTGAGAACATTACCAAACAGAGCTTATAGCTTATTAGTAGCTTAAAATAAGCTATAAGCTCTGCCAAAGGCAAACCTAACTGAAAAGCTATAAGCTAAGAGTTGAAAGATAAAAAGAAGCTGAAAGTTGAAAAGCTAAAAGCTCGAAACTGAAAACTGAAGAGCTTTTAAGCTAGCTGTTATGATTGAAAGTGTTTGGTAAAATTAACTTTTTGATAAGCTGATAAATATAAAAAGACTAAAAAGGATATCTTCATAAAATTTAAATTAGTGTGTTTACATATTAAAATTTAATATTTTGTCTTTAAAAAAATTAACATTTTTAAATAAACTATTAACATAATCATGATCTAACATCTCATAATGAAGTAGCAATATTGTTGCAAATCTTATAATAATAATAATAATAATAATAATAATATTTGCGGTGAAAGTTGCAAATAAAGGAGAGGAGAAAAGAGTTTTAATTGAGAATGGTAAATTACGTCATTTCTTTAAAATAATAAGGATAAAAATGGAAAAAAGTTAGGAAACCAGGAGCTTATTTTGAAAATAAGTAGCGCTTCAAAATAAGCTTTTATTTTAAGTTGAGAGCTTATTTTGAGAACATTACCAAACAGAATTTATAGCTTATTAGTAGATTAAAATATACTATAAGCTCTGCCAAACAGAGCCCTAAGTATGAGTACATATTAAGCATGTATTGTGTGAAATATATGGACATGCTTAATATGCACAGAGCACAATATCCTTTATGCACACACGCGTTTTTAATGTATCAAATTGGTTCTCATAGGGTGCACTACAAAAAAAATGCACTACAAAGATAATAATTTTTACTGTGCGCATTTTGTGAAAAGACAACACAACAAAGAAGTTCTAAAACCAGCGGCAAAGCAACTGGAGTGTTTTCAAAGCATTGATTTTCATTCAACTAGGTTTCAATTAGTAAATGAGAAATCCAGATATAGAGAAGAATTTTCGAACCGAAGCTTATATATCCAGGTTGTCGGTTCGACCTCCTCTTCCTCTCCTTCTTCGGAGTTGACTTTGGCAAATAATACACTAAGGAAACGCAGGTCGAAATCTGTAAAAAAAAAAAAAAAACCGTACGTACCTGAGGAAACGCAGATCGAAACGATGGAGTTGTCGTCACCGCTGCTTGCTCGCCGACGGTCCAAGAAGCCGCTGGTGGTCGCCTCAGGTCGTTGCCGTTATTGACGTCATTGGTCGTCGTCATTGCTCAGGCCTATGGTCGTCATCGCCTCCTCCTTCAAACGCTCTTTGGGTAGTGAAGGTTTGTGGAGAGTAAAGCTGAGAATCGCGTCTAGGTTTTCTTTATTTATTTCGTTTTAATGTAAGCGAATTTTTTTGAAAAAAGTATTTTGCTTTTCGCGCCAGTTCTAAAGATATAGCAAAAAGTGCCCTTTTTCTAAAGGGTAATTCTATTTACACCACCTATTTTACTATTTGCACCACCTACTTAGTAGGTCATATAGCTTTATAGGTGGTGTAAATGCCAGCATTAAATATGGTCAAAGATTTTTATTTATTTATTTATTTATTTTAATTAAAAAAAAAAAAAAAACTCCATCTAGTCACCTTCTCCGGTGAGAAGGCAACTGGGCTGCCTTCTCCGGTGAGAAGGCAGCCCAGTGGGTTGCCTTCTCACCGGAGAAGGCAACCCAATGGGTTATTTTTTTAAAAAAAAAAAAAAAAAAAAAGATCCGTCACCTTCTCCGGTGAGAAGGCGATGGACTGCCTTCTCACCGGAGAAGGCAAATGGGTTGTCTTCTCCGGCGAGAAGGCGACCCACTGTGTGGGCTGCCTTCTCGCCTGAGAAGGCAACCCACATAGTGGGCTGCCTTCTCCGGCGAGAAGGCAGCCCACACAGTGGGTCGCCTTCTCGCCGGAGAAGGCAGCCCAGTTGCCTTCTCCGGTGAGAAGCCAGTCCGTCGCCTTCTCACCGGAGAAGGCGATGGTGTGTTCTTCGTTTTTTTTTTTTTTTTTTTTTTAAGAATTAAATTTTGAACTCATAAATGCAGTTTTAATAGGGTGGTACAAAATAGCATTTTGACCACCCATTAGGCATTAGGCTATTTGCACCACCCATATATTTATTACAATCTCTCGCCTGCAATATTAATCGGTGAGAAATACGACACGGTTTCCCCAACTCCGACTCCCTCTCCCAATAACCTCTCTCCCTCGCCTGAATCCGATGATGTTTCTCCTTCGTCTCCGTCTCCGTCTCCTTCGCCTTGAGATCTCGCTTCTCCGTCGCCGTCCCCGATGTCCGATGAATGCTATCGCTCTGCTCGGTCATTTTTCTCTTCCTCCAAATCCGGCCTCTGCTCCTCAGATGCCGAGTGATGTCCCTACCGACAACGATGACTCTGACAGTGGAATGAGTGGCAGCAAGAAGGTCGGCATAGCGTTCAGAGTCATCTCCGGTGCGTGTCTAGTGGGGTTAGCCGCAGAAGGTTTACAAAAAGCGGCAAGAGAACATCCGTCGAGCACAACTCGAATACTACGGCAATGACGACATGCTCTAAACTCCGAGAAACAAAGGACGAAATCGGCAGGAGAACATTCGGCAGGCTTTACGGTGTGTATTTACATTAATGTCCTAGGAGAAGATGGAGAATTCACGGTCAAAGAGACTGAGGACGAAATCGGGTAAAAATTAGAAAGCTAAGGACTTAATTTCGTAAGGATTATAGTCGAGGACCAAATCGATAGTTTCGTAATAGTCGGAGGACCAAATCAGTTATTAACTCTAATTTTAAGATATTTTATACCCACTTTTGGATGGTGTAAATAGCAAGACCATACCAAACATTTCCATCTGTATTTGCTTTTCGGAGTATACAACAATAGCATTAGTGCAATCCTTTTCAGAGTCGTCAACTGCATTATAGGTAGAGACAAATAGAAAACACAAATGTATTGAAGATACACTTGATTAAGTCTCCCAGAGGCCACAGGTAACATCCTC